TGCTCCCAGCAGGGCTTGCAGCATCCCAGCTGCCTGCTACGAGCAGCCCAGGCTCCCAGCTGGCAGCAGCTGCCCAGAGCCAGGAGGCTCCAAACAGCTGTGCCAGGCTGTGGGCTCTGGCATCAGATCCACACTGGCTCATGAGCCCACACGTCGGAGCGGGCAGTGAGGGAGGGGCTTGTGGCAGTGCAGCCCCGGTCTCTCCCCCACTCCCCACACGGAGGTGATGGCAGGGATCCGGAGCTCGGCGCAGCTGTTTGTAGCCAGCCTGGGCTCTGGGCAGCTGCAGTAAGCAGGGGGTAGGCTGCAAACAGCTGCACTGGGCCCTACAGCTTTGGCATCATCTCCGTGCTGGCGGTGACTGCACAAGCACCTTGGGGCACCAATCTTCTTGAAATTTGGCAGGCTTTGTGGCCTCAGTAAGAGCCACCACCCATGAAGTTTTGACCCTGCCATGTTGTAATGCCTAGACGTGACATGAGTTTTGCTTTCAAGAACTTGGGGTGCCATTCCCCCCAAACTCCTGCACTGATCTTTTTGAAACTTGGCATGCTTCATTCTCTCTGCAGAGTCTACCACCCCTGAAAATTTCATCCAAATCAGACAAAACACAACAAAATTATAGATATATTATTGTTTCCCCATTATACCCTATGGCCGGATCTCTGAGGCGGCTCCAAAGCTCTTCGGGAAGCCTAATGAGGCCAGCGCTTCAACCCGGACATGCTGCTTCAGACCCCGAAGTGTCTGCAGCTTCTCCGGATCCGAAGCTCTGTCCAAAGCCTTGCACAGCCTTAATAAGCATCTCAGATGCTTATGAGCTAATAGTCCCTGAAAGAGAGTGAAAATGTAGGTCCACCTCTGGGCCCCAGGACTCAAGGATTACAGGAATGATGGGATGGTCGGGTTCTGGAAAATCAGAATTCTTGGGGGAGGACCCAGAGGAACCTGAGGGGCTGCAGTATATTGGTAAATGAGAGCAACCTTTGGTTCAGAATCATTAGAGCTGGTACTAGAGAACTGATAGGGTACTGAAGCCATCGGCTCCTGAATCCTGCCCTCTGGCAGGAACCTCTCTCAGGAGGTTCTGAGCTTGAATTGAAGCTCATCTTTACAAAATTTCTTTTAAAATAGTAAGATTTTATAGTTGTGAAATGTGTGCTGCAGTGCCAGTAGCCAGAAGTGCAAAACATGGACATGGGGGTATATTGCATAGCCAACCCAACCTCCCTGGATGGTGGGTAGTGGTAGGAAGAAGAAAGATAATGGCTGACTGAGAGGAGTTATCTGAGTCCTGCTGTCAGATATCCATTTCAAACCACCCTGGATTAGGTTTTTTAATGGAACAGATCAGTATAGCAGTCAAAGTTACCATATGAGCTCTCCTCATCTGCCTCTGCAGTGTTTGATTGGTTCTGCAGCTGGTTCTGGCTCTCTCTAGACCTATTTTGTTTGTGTGGTGCTGAGGATCTTTGTATTTCTTGCATTGAGTTTCATGTTGCTTCTGTCTTGTACTTTTCTTGGGTAGGGAATTTAGAAATGAGGGATTGGGGCCAGGGAGTTCCTTGGGCCATGAGGATTATCTCATTGTACCACAGGGCTCAGAGATATCCAAAAACTTGGTACCTTAAACCCCAAGTCATTCTTTCCAGAAATTGTTTACTATGGAAGAAAGATTTTATTTGTTTCTGTGATTTGCTTAGACCAGAATCTGGTATATGAACATGTACAATTTTTAAACAAATTGCCCTCCAGACTTTGCAGCTCAGATCTGCCTCTACCTGGTTTGGACCAAAATCATTGTGATACAAGTCATCAGAGATAAACTTGTCAGTTTGCTTTTCTCAAGACCCCATAGCAGGAGGATTTTTCCTAGATGTCTGAGCAGGCTTTCCTAGACTCAGACTTAGGCCTGAATGGTGGAAGAAGTCAGTTTTTTTAAGCAGAAAGGAGTGCACCTTTCATCTGATCCCTACAAGGAAACTATCTGCATTTGATGGTGAGCTTGGTGATCTCAACAGAAGATGCAACCACTTGTTGGAGTGGACAGAGGTCTTTATTAGGATATCCACATGGAAAAATAAAGGTGTGTTCGTTTTCATGGGTGGGCTCACAGAGACAACAAAAGCTACAAAGTACTCAGAGCAAGGTTCCTGGAACTTCTGTAGAGGCTCAAGTTTGAGGCCTTCCATCTTCACTGCTACCCTTACCCATGTGATGCGATTAGCACCAGTAGAGGTCTCTCTGCCTGTGCTACAATCACATCTTTGATTTGTTGTGTAGACACAGCCCCTGAGTGGGTTTTGTGGAGCACTTTGTTCCTAACTCTGGGGCCATGAGGGATATGTACATTCGGTAAACAAATTGCATTAGAAACATACCTGATATCAACTATTTCCATGACAGTGTAAACTACCTCATAAGGTTCCACATTTTAGCCACTTCCTGGCCAAATAGGCCATAGTAACAAAGCTTTTCTATTAATGGATCAGTGTAGCAAGGTTTGGGTTCTAGGGGCAGCCATTGTGCCCTCTGGAGGCCATGCTACCCCTGGCCCAGATGAAGCTCTAGGGTGCCCTCCCCTCCTCACTTGCTAGTCATACCTTGAAGTATTTATTTAATTGAAGGGAAGGCCGCCTAAGGGTTCTAAAGCAAGACCCAGTTCTTCTAGGCACCAGCAGGTCCTTCCCAGACCCTGATGGTCTCAGTTCTGCCCTTAAGCTGAGTCGGCACTCTCAGCCCGTTCATGCCCCAGGGCCTCTGTAGCCTTAACAGCTAAATATATGGCTCCAGGCACCCCTTCCACCATGCTTTGCCTCACAGAATTTATGTCCAATCATTCCTTTCTTGGGGCCTTGGACTTCTCAGCTTCTCTCCCTCTGCTCTGGATGCAAGCCTCCAGCCCTGGCCCATGGATTTGGGTTTGGCTATCTTGGCTTCAGCCCTGCTGGTTAGTATCTGTGGGCCTCTGTCCCCTCTGTCCCTTTGTGCTGGGTCTCTGGCCCCAACCTCATTCTTCTCTGAGCACTGGACCCCAGATCTGGATACCATCCTTCTTGGGCTAGACCCCTATCTCTGGGCCTCTGGCCCCTGTGTCCTTTGCCCTGGGTCCTCCAGGCCCAAGCTCTTCTCTTCTCTGGGCTCTGGCTCCAGTTTGCCCCTTGAGCTTGATCCCTGGCAGGGTTCAAGGCAGTCACATGGCCCTCAGGCACTAATTGTACCTCCAAACCATCCCTCAGTCCCTTCCACAAACCACCAGTGTAAACAGTAACCAAAAACATAAACCATTTTAATGACATTGCAGGAGGAAGCTAACACCTAGATCTGTTGTTTGGTTGCTTGGTTATTTTTAGTTTCTGTGGTTTTATGCTTAGAGAAATGAAGGTGGACAACAGGTAAGCTCAAAAGATTTGTTTTAGGACAACATACCCAACATCTCACAATATAGGAAAATAATTTTTATTAGTAGTGATGGTCTGTAGCAATCTGAAATGCTTGGCCCACTCTAGTCCATGCGTTCTGATACTGCATAAGTAGTTATAAATCCTAACTTCCACTATCTCTAGGACTGAGATACCACTTTTAGGACAGCAATGTGATGAATTCTGCCGCTGGCTAGTACCTTCATTGGTAATGGTAGTGGGCCAACTCCTTGGTAAGGTACAGCTCCTACTAAATGAAATTGCAGAACTTTGCCTAGTGACTATACTACCTGAATAAATGCTCAGGCGAGGAAAATGTGTTAGTATTAAGAAAAACTGGAAGCTGAATGCTTGTTCCCCATTCTACAAAAACTGAGTTAGTCTTGTGAGGGCCAAATCATGCCACAATTTAAATTAATCCCACTTAGCAGATCAAATTTGAATTCAGCAATTTAGATTCATGTTTTTATAGCTGCCTTTGGAGCTTGGACCTAAATCATTATGGGCAGAACCCTGCTCACTTTCTTTGATTTCAGTGGAATTACGTTTTGTGAGGAAGGTGAGCAGGGCTGGATATTATCCTGTTGGTGCTTAATCCATAGCCCATGAACACTGAAAAATCTTCTATTGACTCCAATTGATGTTTGGCTCAAGGCCTTGATCTTGAAAGGAGATCTAGCGGCCTAACATTTCAGAATCCCAGCCTGAGTGAGTGACACATTGCATTAACTAAAAAAGAGAAGCATTCCCGGCTGGAAGAAGCTAGGGGGTACTGTTTACCGACAGAGAGGTGTACTGGCCATTGCACGCCTCAAGGACCTGACTTTGGCATTCATGGCTCCCCACTCAGTGAATCTCCTGTACTTGCCGGGTCTCAGGAGGTACTGTCGACCTTGGTAGTTTGGTTGTTCATAGAATATCCAGCAACCTTCAAAAACCTGGCAAGACTGGACATCTCCAAAACGAAATTCCTCATAGATAGAAGGACAGTCGAGCATGAACTCCATCATCCTGCCTCCGAAGTCATTCTTTTCATAGATTCAGATCCTGCTGATATCCATAGGCTATGAGGACAAATGCAAAAACACGGAGAGAAGATGTAAATATTAGCTATATCTGCCAGCAAGTGATTCATTGCTTTTCTGCTGTGAATGATACCTTAGTGAATGTATCTTCCATGTTTCAGGAGTGTTGTTTATAGCCATGTTGGTCTAAGGACATAGGCAGACAAAGTTCTTTGATAAATGTGATATCTTTTATTAGACCAACTAAATACCCTTCTTGTGCCTGAAAGCTTGCAAAGAACAATTTTTCCAACTATTTAGTTCGTCTAATAAAAGATATCACATTTACCAAAGAACCTTGTCTGCCTCAGTGAATGATCACTTTTGCTCGATCAGCAGGAATAGGAGCCTGACTCAGTACTGTTAAACTGGTGTTACTCTGAAGAGAATCAGACCCCTTTTCCTGCCAAAGCTCTGATCATCAGTGAAGTGACACTGGGACACAGCAGTGTTTAACTGAGCCCTGTAGGTTTATATCACAACTTCATTTAGAAAATGGCAGGCCAAAGAAAATGGTAATTGGTAGCTGGATTCCCAGAGTGGTCATATGCCAAGAGCTTGAAATGTGAATGTAATCTGGGAGATGTGACACTACTCAGAGATACATGGGTCTGAGTTCTACAAATGACCATGCCGCTGCTCTGTTTTGTGTCCTTCAGTAAGTCATCTCATCTTCCACTGCTTCTACTCCTCCACCAACCTTTTTTCTATCTAGCTCCTATGCTGTGTTTCAGGATTGTCTCCTATCAGGTGTTTACACAATATCTACCACAGCTAGGCCCTGATCAGTTATAGCTCCAGTACTCCACTCTCTGGAAATGGTTTGGTGTGTACTGTGGCAAATTTGGGCACAGTTTCCTGGGAAAAGAGAAAATTCCCATGCCCAGAAAAACAAGGAGAATTTCAGCTCAAAGGATCAACGTTTGGCAAAGGTCTAAAAATGGCAACCAAGAACTTGGAATGCTGCATATCAAGCAACCTTAATAGCAGAAGGAGAGAGAAGAAAGGAGGGTCTTGTGGTTGAGACACTAAACTGGGACCATCTCCTTGGGAAAATCCCTTTTAGCTTGAAGGTTTCAAGTTATAGAAATGCTGAAAGATGAAGATGCTCGCTGGAAGAATTTTCAAGGGTGGTCAGGTGCTGAGATGTCCTTGATTTCATTGAAAATCTCACTTCCCACCACTCTGCATTTTTAGGTATCTAAACTCCTTTTAAAATGCCTCAAATTCATTGCCCTTCTGTGTCATCTTGCACCTTGTGCCTGTTTCTCAGTCAAGACTGTAAGTTTTTGGGGGAGGAACTGCATGTGCAGTAGCTAGGGTCAGGGAGTTCTGCACTTAGCTGAGGATCCTTGACACAGGTTTCATTCCAGTAAGATCAACCACAAAAATGTCAGTGAGCTTACATGTGGGATTAGGATGCAGGATCTGATGGAGTCATTGAATCCCATCCATTGCTGGTAGTTTGAGTAGCTTCCCCTCCTCAAGAAGTACTGATGGCCTGAGTAGTTGCTGCGCTCGTAGATCATCCAACAGCCACTTTCCACCCTGATGGAGTTGCAGCAGCTTAGGTAAGACTGCATATCGGGCTGGTCCAAGGTAACCTTATGGAAGCGGCCCTCAAAGTTTCTGCCCTCATAAAATATGATCTGCATAAAAATAAAAGGCAACACTAGTAACATTAGAAAGCCTTGGTTTTAACACTGGCTTTGACTTAATAATGCTTACTTCACAATATACCCAAATCTATGGAAATGCTTCTGTGGTCCTTGTTGGACTTTTTGTCAGGATATGTAATTAAGCCTGGACATAGATTTCATTAGCTGCTTACCTAATCAGAAAATGTAACTAGCTAAGCAGCCGAAGAGCATCTGAGATGTTCACAGCTCCTTCTTTGGGATTTCATAGTGCTGATGTTTGGCAGTGTAGCAGGGCACTAAGGTGCCTGCTACTGACAACAGTATTACGAGCTCAGCTGCCAATCACCAGGGCAGCACAGGTGCAGGTTGCCGGGGCAGCCAGTCTGGTCAGCTGACCAGAAGGGGGCAGGGCCTGACCTTTATAAACAGCCAGGCTGAGGCGGGAAGGGTAGTTCCCTTCTGGCAGTTGTGGAAGATGGAGCTCTGCTGGGAGTAGGCAGAGATGAGAGGCCTGAGGGCCTGAGCACATTATGAGTGAGGATACCAGGCAGAGGAGCCCCTGGTAGGGATTTGGGGAAGATAAAGAGCATGATGGTTTAGGGTTTATATTTGGCCAGGAGGCCTGAGTTTGAGTTGGGGCCGAACGGCCAGTGGTTTTGTTTGTTATTACACCGGAGGATCGGGTGAGGCTGTAGGGGTTGGAGGGGGCCTCAGGGGAGCTCCCCAGTAGTGGGGGGAGTTCCTGGTGCTGGAGAGGGCCCTGTATTTTGGGGTGTCCTGACCCCGGCCCTAGTGTGGGCAGATTCAGGAGGAGCCCAGTGTGGGCATAGGCAAGAAGCCCCAGTAGGGCAGAGGACCCAGAAAGGGGGTCTGGGGGCCAGGTAAGGCTGAGGCTGCCTGATCCCCGATTGGGAGAAGCCCCAGTGGGGCATAAGACCCAGAAAGGGGGTCTGGGGGCCAGGTAAGGCTGAGGCC